ATATATGACTATGTAAATATAAAAATATGTACAATATATGTATATATTATTTTATTATAATTTTAACATTTGAAAGTAGGTTTTTAAGAGATATTTAGTTCTCACTTCTGTTGCTCTGTTACAAGGTAATTAGAAATTCCTACATGAACTTATTTTTTGTTTATCAACAATTTTATGATTATCTTTTTGAATGATCAATTAATATATGCATGAATGTTATTTATGTTGACCTCTGATGAAAATGAACATAAGCGTTTATCTTCTTTTTAACATTTTGTGATTTCAGTTGTTTGAAAATATTTCCTTAGCTAATTGTCTTCTGATGTTGGGTATAGTTAATCAAAAAAACTGAAGTTTTAGATCTTTTATTTGGCATTGACTTTTCTAATCCTTTCTTTGGTGATTTAATTTTAATTTTATTCTAGGGAATAAAATGAGACATCTTTTTTTTTTTTTTTTTTTGGTGTACTAGGAATTGAACTCAAGGTCTTGTGCTTTCTAGGCAAGTGCTCTACCACTTGAACCACACTCCAGTCCTTCTTCTTAGTTTGTTTTTCAGATAGGATCTCTTGCTCAATTTTCTTGGGTGGCCTCTAATCACACAATAATCTTGTTTCCATCTCTGGTGTAGTTGGGATTACAGGTATGGGTCACCATGCCAGACCTCAGATGTCTCACTCTTATCAAAAGAATTCGTTTTCCAGTACCAATCTGCTTTGGGTAAGGAAGAGACACAAAGAAAGCATTTGTAGTACGAGGTGCAAATTTGCTTAGTTTCTAGTTGCTAGTCAGTTTTCCATCTCAACTGATCAGCTGAACAATATCTAGTACTTTAATTCATAACATCTAAATATTAAATTCTCAGATATCCTTGGGTTTATTTCTGTTGTAATCCACCTGCCTGCTCTTATGACTAATCTTTTAATTATAACATGATTCACAGTAACGCATTTTAATATTTTAAATTAATTTTTCACTCTTTATTTTTCTTATTCTCTTGTCAACCCAAGTTGTCATCCCTCTGTGTTTGCTGCAATTTTTAAATTAAAATTTTATTAAACATTTTTTCTAATAATTTATGTGGAGGAAAATTAAAATGTCCCACTAGTATTTTATACTTTTCTTTATACAGGTCAACTTTCTTTTTTGAAATGTTTATTTCTAGATATTGCTTGTTAATTTTCCTATGAATAGTCTCTTTCTGTGTGTTATTTTCTGACTCATTTGTTAGAATGGAGTTTTTAATAATAGCATATTTAGTTTTTAACTGGCTATGTTCATGACTCAATATTTGTTAGTATGACATTTTATTGTAAATTTTGAACCATTTTAATTCAACTAATTATCTTCAGGACCTAACCTAAGTCCCTATAATACACAAATTTTTGGAATTTTCATTCTTTTAAACTACTATATATAATTCTTAAAGGTAAGAAAACTCTTGGAAGCAAAAATTTTCAGGAACTATTTTCATTTAAAATAAAATAATAGAATGAATTGTACCTAATTGGGAAAAGAAGATAATCCTATAAATGTCATCCCTAGAATTGACATTACCATGATTTCTGAGTCAGTATTAATGGAGAATAATAGCTGTCTCAAACTAGCAAAAATGCCGTGTTTCTTTTTTTCCATTTTATGTTTTTTCTTCTACAAAATAGGAGAACAGAAGGGTAGAACAAGTTCTGCCCAGGTGTGTGTGTTGCAAGGGTGATCTGCACTGGTGGAAGGGGGGAGGTGGAGGGAAAAGGGGGTGGTAGGATGAATATGGTGCAAACAATGTATACACAAGTATGTAAATGTAAAAATGATACCTGTTGAAACTGTTCCAAAAATGGGGGTGGGGATAAAAGAGAGCACTGGGTTTGATACATCATAAGAACCTTTGCAATGTTACAATGTAATCACACCCAGCACAACAATAAAAAATAAAATAAATCTCTAAAAGAAACTGTAAAAAATACAAAATTAAAAAATTTTAAAAATTCACTCAACAAACAGTTATTGTAGAATATGTTCCTAGCATTTTTAGAGAAGCTCAATGTACACAAATTGCAAAAACGAAAAACAAGTCCTTTCTTTACTGAATTCACAGTTTAGCATGGAGGGTAGATAGAAAATAAACAAGTGACAACTACTATATATGTGTGTGTGTATGTATATATATATATATATATATATATATATATAATAGGCTAGTAATTGAGCTGAGAGGCATAAAGGCAGCCCAGGATTAGAGATGAGAAAGCAAATTTAAATCTGAGTTTAGGAAAGCTTCTTAGTGGGAGATCGTAGAAGATATAACAATGTTAGGATGCACATCTGGGGAAGATAAACAAGCTTAAAGATATGAATGAATATTTGAGGTTTTAAAACCTTTCTGTGGGGATAATCATTTGTCGTTTGCACTTTTGTATCTTTTAAATTCAGAGAGGCCTTCTCAGAATATAAAACCCACTGAAGCTATTTCTTAGGTCTCCCCCAGGATTTTAATTTATGTAATATATATATATATATATATATATATAAATATAAATAAATATATATATAAATATATATAAATATATAAATATATATATATTTAAGGCTGGGGATATAAGAATTGTGAAAAAGTATAAGAATACTATTAAGAAAAACAGAAGATTAAATACAAAATAATATAATGAAATAAAAATGTATTAATCCTATCCTGTTAGAGAATTTTTTCAAGCGATTTCCTTGTGTGCTATAAGTGAGATAGTTCAGAACAAATCAGAAGGATCTAAGTTTATAGGAAGAGCATCCCTTCCCCATTTTTCTTTCAGTTTTGCCAATGTACTTTCTTTTAAAAAACTATGTTCATCATTCAGTGATTATCTCAGAACATGTGGCAATATAAACTTAAGTCCTGAGTGAAATAGCATTTGCAGACCACACTCTCTGTTCTTCCAACTCTTGCTGTCTTTTGCATTTGGTTTCTTAAACTATTTTTTTTAACAAAAACCTAAGGGATCATTTCTACATTGTAGGCCTATTAAGTGAAAAATTTAAAATAATAGTAAATTCATTAATATTTTATGAATAAGGCTAAAACATTAGGCAAACAGAAATTTCAAAACAATTGTAATGAATGGAGAAATCTTATCATCAGAAAAACCAGTAAAACATTGGCACATAGAAGCAGAGAGTTCTCCAAAAATTATTGAACATTTTTCATCCATAATATCAAATAAAAAAACAACCTTCTACTGACTACATGTCAATACTATGATCCTCAATTTTAGAATCTACCTGATGATATGAGTTGTGCTGAAATTAGATTACCATCTGTATATCTCACTTGAGTTTGTATTTTACTTCTCCCCTTTGCCAGAATGTCTTTTCCAACAACTCTTTAATGTTTTACTCTGGCACAGAAAATGGTTGAGAGGAAAGTGAGCAACTAAAATTTAATTTATTCTAATTCTTGCCAGCATTGATTTTCTTTTAAAAATAGAACTTATTTCTCTGAAATAAATCAAATTAAAGTAGCATCTTACATTTGATTTTTTAAATGCTACAGCAAGAATTTTATTCCACAGCTTTCACTATCATTAAGTCTGAGAGTATTTAGCTTCATTAAATTCCTAATTTTCATGCTTTAAAAAATAATAAAGCACAACTTCTTGCATAGCATCAATGACCTCCTCCCCCTACCTTCCCTGTAAAATCATAGGGGAGTTGGATACAGTATGCATTCTTAAAATATTCTGAGTTGTTTTGTGGGGACAGATTTTATTTCCTCTCATTAGTTTTGTTTTTGTTTGTTTGTTTTAAGCTCAGTGGGTCTGAGCTAGGGAATGATGGCTGGAATGTTAGCAATTTTTATAACACAGTTGTGTTATAATCATAGTACTTTGAGATAGCACTGGGATAGGATGGTCATGAGTTCAAGGCCACTCTGACCTACATAGTAAGACCCTGTCTCAAAAAAAACCCATTCAGAATCTTCCTTTTAAAAAACTCCCAAGTGATTTTTTTTCTAAAATAATTTTTTTGTGTGTATTTTAAGGTATACAGCATAATGTTATAGAATAATACAGATAGTAAGGTAGTTACTGTAATAAAACACATGAACATTTCCATCATCCCACATAGTTATATACATTTTTGTTTTTTCATTTTGCTTTTGTGTAAGAGCATCTAATATCTGCTCTTTAGTAGAACTCCTGAATTTCGTATATAATATCTGTACTATTATATACATATTTAGTATAAACCTGTAGGTATATATAATTGGCCTCATGTTGTACATTCCATCTCCAGATTTGTTCATCCTATGTACCTGATTCTTTGTATCTTTTGACCTGCCTCAATTCCAAACCCTTCATCCTACCCCAAGAATCACTCTTTTATTCTCTATTCATCCCTGTCTTCCTGCTGCAGAACGAAGACATTACAAATGTAAATATCTCTTATGAAAGGGGAGCTCCTTAACATTGTTTTCAGAACTGCACCATGTTTGCCATTTCTCAAAATAATCCTTATGCAAAAGAGGTGCATTTGAGTTGGCAGGTTCTTGTTTCTTATGGTCATATTTTTAGGTGATATCTGCTTAGCCACATCAGAACTGAAAGCAGAAACTATGTGATCATATGTTTAAAATACTTTGTTCTCCTTTCCTAATGCTACATAACCATGAATACTAGTTTAAATATTATATTTAAAGCATATTAAACTTTCCTAAAATGGCATATGATTTATTTCCCTAGCTTCAAATTATTTGAATCTGTTCCCAGATGTACAATATGAAATCATAGAGCAAATATTTGTCACTTGGTGATATACAATTACCTAAGATTATTTAAAGACTTTCATATAAAAAATTAAACAACTGTTGAAATCAATTTCTGTGCATAGTGATTTTAATCCATTTTTTTGCAAGTCTAAGGCATTATAAGATAGTTTGATTTATATATTATCTCCCAATGATCAAAAAACCGAAACTATTTCCAAGAAAAATTGTTATTTTTTCTGACCAGGGATATGGTGGCTATATTGCATCAATGATCTTAAAATCAGATGAAAAACTTTTTAAATGTGGATCAGTGCTTGCACCCATCACAGACATGAAGTTGTATGGTGAGTATATAGTATGGATTGACCTAATACAATGTATTGATTTGTAGAAAACAAAATCCCAATGTAGTGAGAAACTAATTGAGCTCATTTATCATGTGTTATTAAAGTCTGTTTTAAGTTGTTTATCACCTCCCTGATTCAAATGATTTTACTGGAGCATGACAATTAAATTTGAAATGTTGAAATAAACTAGGTTTTTAGTTTATTCTTATATTTCTGTTTTCTTTGGTCACAGCCTCTGCTTTCTCTGAAAGATACCTTGGTATGCCATCTAAGGAAGAAAGCACTTATCAGGTAACTAATTTAAAAACAGCCAAGAGCACCTTTTTGTTCTAAAACTTAACTCAAATTGCTTTTATAGATAGACTTATACAAAAGAGATATTTGTGCTTTCCTTTATAGGCATCCAGTGTGCTACATAATATCCATGGTTTAAAAGAAGAAAATATACTGATAATTCATGGGACTGCTGATAGTAAGTATTATATTTGCTGCTATTGTTAGTTGGGATCTGACCTTTTACATAGTAATACACTTTAGCACTTGTTTCCAGGGTCCCTCAAACTTGCTGAAGAAGACAGCAGGAAGTGTTAAACAGAATCAGATGCATGACAGAAAGTGGGAAGAAAGAATTCAGGGCTATGAGGAGAGGAGATGATGGGCCTGAAATGGAAGCACGTGCAATAACTTACTATGATGATAGAAATGTCCTGTCTGTCCACAGTAGCGACTGGAAACTTGTGGCTTTAATCATGTGACCAGGAAACAGAATTTTTAATATTTTTTCCTAATTTAAATTAAATAGCCACATGAGGCTAATGACTATGACTACAGTGTTATTTAACAGAACTCAAATGGAAGACAACCCCTAAGAACAGTAAAATAGCCAAAAGGTGCAAGTACTGGATGGAATTCTGGTGAAGTCATTCACTTAAATGAGAAACAAAACTTTTTATTTCTCCTCTCTATATTTTCATCACTTTATATATGGGAGATGGATGTGATTGATATTGGTAGTAATGAGTTCTTTATATTCATGTGAAGCTTTTAGAGCTCACAAAGTTTATATTATTCTGACCCCATGTGATACCTTAAACAGAAATATGAGTTTTTACAGCTCCATTCTATAAAAAGAAAAATCAATTTCAGAAAAGAAGCATTTATCCAAGACTTACTAGCAGGTGAGCCCAAATAGTCTAAGTTTTGAATCAATTTCTCCAACTTATTTTTCTTGGTCAGCCCTGCTATACCTCAGGACTTTTAGCTAATTTTACAAGGAAAACCACTAAAAAAGACTTCTAGAAAAGAGTATAAAATCTCTCCAACATAACATTTCAGTACATCAGGCTATGGTTAAATCAGAGCTTAGATCAGCTTGTGTGTGTGTGTGTGTGTGTGTGTGTGTATGTATGTGTGTATGTGTGTATCTGTGTGTGTGTTTGTGTAATAAATGTGTGTGTGGGGGGGCAGAGACACATATCCAAAGACAGAATTCCTTACACCTTTTTTTAGCTATTCCCCCTCAAGAAGGCAGTTTAACTCCCTCCCTGCTTCAACATGGGTTACACTTAATGATTTGCTTCAAATACTTCTGCCAATGAATAAGGTTCATATCAATAGTTCTATGTCATGTTCATAATAGCTATTCTGGATATGGGTAATGAGAAGACACTTTACCTTGATGGTTTATTAACAAAAGCAATAACTCTAGCATTATCAAGAGAAAACATCAGATAAACCAAATGAGAAAGATTCTACAAAATATTTGATCATACACCTCAGAACTTTCAAAGGCCATTAGATCAAAACTTTAACAGATCCAAGATAAAGGAGACATTGTGGGTAAATATAACACGTTACTCTGGATGGGACCCAGGATCAAAAATGGACACAGGGAATAAAAAGTGCATACCAAGTAAAATGGGTTTATCTGGTCATATTATACCACTTTGGCTTTTTTTTTGTTATAAATATCCAATAATAAGTTAAGCTGTGAACAATAAGACAACCTGGGTAAAGAACATACAGGAACTCTTTGCATTCTCTTGGCAACTATTCTCAAAATCTAAAACAATTATAAAATTAGAAGTCAATTCATAAAAAGATTTAGGTTATACACTACCAGTGCTGCATGAAAACTGATGAAAAGACATCATAAAACTTTTGAAGAACATTAAAATTTTGTTTTATGGTATTAAGACCTTACATATATGTTAACAGTGGTAATAATAAATAGCAATTTTTAAAATACAAACTAAGTCAGAAAATGTGTCAACAGTACTTAATATTTTATTTTTCCAGATAAAAATACTGTACAGTGGGTATTATCACCTCTCTATTTAACAAATTAGAGAAATAAATATTAGAAAACATCCATAGCTATTAGTAAAAGGAGATTTGAATCCAAGGATAAAAGTCCTTATTTGCTATACACAGAAGCATCTGTCATGTGAATAAATTATGTCTAAATTTAAATTATCTTATATCTAGCCATCACTCTGGAATATCTTTCAAATTCCTCTAGAAATATGTTGTTGCTATTAAGGTAAATGATGTTGTTTATTTCTAATTTACTCAGTTCATGGCCTACTGTTTCCCTACCTAAGAGCATGAAGGTCCAGTGCTGGTCACTTCAAAGCAATCATACCTGTGTGTGCACAAGCACAGACATCACACAACCCATAAGGGCCTTATGGATTACATGTGCTCAGCCAATGATATTATAATGCTATCATTACTAATATTATCTGGAAAAATTAGAAATTAGCTCACTCAGCCAGTCAGACTTTAATATCCTTGGAAAGAGGACAGATTTTGCACTATAAACTGTGCAGTAAGAATATCCAACTGAAAACTCAGGTGTACATTTATCTTTTTGGCTGTATCCATATGGAGACATGATAGAGTTCTTTTCATATAGCTTTCCTACAATAAATAAATGAGCTACATTAGGGATTATTTTACCTCAGTCATTGCCCATATTAATTAATATTCCTAGTAGCTTAAATTTACTTAGCAACTTATATTTATCTAGAGTTGTCTGGTGATTTTCTCATTAACATAGTAGGAAAATGTTGAAAAGATCTTCATGAATTTAAAATAAGTTTAAATTATTATTTGGAATCTGTTTTTTTTTTTTTAGAGAGTATGGTAATTTTATTACTGAGCATTATCAAATTTCTGAATTAGAGAAATTTGTTCCAAGGTAGGATAAGACAGATCATAAAATTTCATATGACTACCAGAAATTTTGACAAACGAACAAATGGAAAGTGATAAAATTAAATAGAGAATTCACACTATATGCAATTAGAGAAAAAAGTTCCTGTGTGATCATCTCAAAGATGAAGCACACTTAACCATTTAATCTCTGAATAGTGATTTCTCCATCATTCAGGGGATAAAAGATCAGCCCTGTTTGGTTTACAGAGTTGTTAGAGAAAAGGTAATAGTATAAAAGTCTTTATAATGCTACTTACATATAATCTGGCTTCTGTTTGCCTAGATTTACAAATCAATGAAAAAAAATGGTGTCATACTTTAGGGAACACCACATATATGATTACAAATTTCACTGCTCTGGGCACTTACTCAACTTGATAAGCAGGAAAATCAATACTTTCCTGTAATTTTTCAACCACCAATATTCCTGAGAATTGCCAGTTTGTTTCTATATGCAAAAAAAATTCTCTATTCTCTATGAGTTTAGGACTCTCAGATAAGGGCACTAACCCTCAAGAAATGGGTTTGGGTAGCTGTGGGTAAGAGCTGCAGGGTGAGTGGAAGTGATGGTCTCAGGCACCGTCAGAGCTGCAAGCCCACCACCGTTGCTCTGTCTCTTCTCCTGCCCAACTTCTGCCAATCTCATCTCCCTCAGCGGGTGGCATACTCTTTATCATTTTCTTTCTGCTTATATTTTTAGGATCTCTGGGTTCTTCTTCGGTCTAGCATTTCATTCTGGTGAGACAGTTTTGAGATATTCCCTGTAGAGTCCTGCAGCTCCAGCCTAGAGTAATTGGAGCTGTTCTTCCAAGAACTTCCCTGCTTCTCAGCTGCACCCTCACAGTAGACGGTTGTCTAGGGAAACCCAGGGAGCAGAGCTGATCTGCTGACCCACAATAGCCCAGAAACATACTCTCTAAAATCATGATGGATGTGCCTGAAATCCTAGCTACTTAGGAGTCAGAGATTGGAAGGATCATTGATTTGAGGCCAGCAACAAATTCTCAAGACCCCATTCCAGTCAATTAAAAAGAAGAAGAATTTAGGTTGATGGCACACATCTGTCATCCCAACTATGCATAAATAGGAGGATTGCAGTTCAGGAAAATCTGAGCATAAATAGAAAATCCTATTCAAAACATACCTAAAATTACATTTCCTCCTGTCCAGTGTGGTATATTTATCCTCTGCAGTGTGGTATATATTTATCCTCTGCAGTGTGGTATATTTATTTGACACCATAGAACTAGAGTAGTAAAGATGCTTAAACTATTGATAAGGCTCTTTTGGTTTATAATGACAGATATAAATTGTTCGCTTAAAATTAAGTGGTGATTTTGCTTAAGATACAATGTTTTGAATTATCACAGTGAAATTCCCTTATGTTATTAATGGGTGCTAATTCAAAACTAAGATAAATTTTAAAAAGAACAGTAGGTAATTTTCAAACTAAAAAAAGTTATTCATAGAAATTTGAAGATGTATAGAGTACTGAAAGGATTAGCTCAGGTGCCACATAAGCAAACTGCAGCACAAAGATTGACTAATTAGTCCACATTTTTCAAAGCTAGTTCGCTCAATATTGCTACCAAATCTAGAACATTTATTCTATTTATTTCAGAGTATTTGGATCTTATATTCATGCAGAAGGAAGTTAGAAGGATACAATAGTAACTATCATGCTCTAGATTAAATATTTACCCTCAAATAATGAGATGTGTGCTCTATTTCTCAACATGGGGCATTCTGTTCTAACTCAAAATAATAAAGAAGGATGCCAGTATCTTACTGTTTGGACTCTAATAATCTTCAAAGATGTCTGTTTTGTTGTATTAATATCTAGAGAAGACTCCCATGGTACTGAAAAATTCATAAGTTATGAATTATGTGCATAACTAAACCTAATACATGATATCCAATAAAGTATATCTAAATACTATACTATACCATAAGCATTAATAATAATTCCTATATTGGGTCATTTTTTATAATCTGAACTGAAAGTTTTACCATTATATTTAACATCTTTCTAGTTAAAAGCAAATATTACTCTTTTAAAGACACAATGTATGTAAAGTAAAATGCTTATTCTCTTTTAAAAAATATGGAAAATTTCTGATTCTAATAAATGTATTTCTTTCAAATATCATAATTTAATTTCTTACAGCAAAAGTTCATTTCCAGCACTCAGCAGAATTAATCAAGCATCTAATAAAAGCTGGGGTGAATTATACTATGCAGGTAAGATACTCTTTTAGAATCCCTGCTTGCAGGGATTGTGGCATGACCACATATTGCCTAACCTCCAAAGCTTTTGTTTGAAATCTGGGTGGAAGCCTCCATAACTCTCAAACTCTTGCATTCTGCATTCTAGTAAAACCAGCATCATGTGGATGATACCAAAATTTGTGTGAGCTATGCCTAGACAAGCTTGATACAGAGCTGGATTGGTGTCTAAGTGCCTTGATGAGTGAACACAGCTTTCTGTCACTCTAAAAAATACCTGAGATAATCAGTAATAAAGAGAACAGCATTGTTTTGGCTCCCACTTCTGGGACTTTGAATCAGTGATTTGACCTGTTGCTTTGGGCAACGTCACATCATGGCAAAAGCATATGAGAAGTAAAACAGCTCCCATTAGAGACCAGAAAGCAAAGAGAGGAAAGAAGAAGTTGGAATCCCACAACACTCTTCAAGGGAATATCCACAATGGCCTAATAACCTTCCACTAGGTTCCACATCTTAAAACTTCCTCCACCTTCCCAAGAGAACCACTCTGTGGACTAAGCTTTGAAAACATAGGCCATTGGAAAATATTCAAGGTCCAAAACTATTTCAAAAATACTTTTTACATTTTTTTTACTTATGGGATAAAGAACACAGTATATTCATCATTCCAATTTCAATGTTATTGTTTTCTAGTATTTTTTAGGTATCAAAGATTGTATTCTTTATCCTAATGACACTGAGAATGTGGTTCACCAGCTTTACAGTTGAATTCATAAACCCTCTCAAAAGTGTCCTTTTCTACTCAGTGATAACATAACTAATATTGAATTCTTTTGAAGAGTAAATTTCTACTTCCCTTTTGTTTTTACTTTCTTTCACCCTTGCCATAAAAAATTATGAGACAAAACAAGTATTTTGGAGAAATGCTACTAGAAAAAAAGAGAGGATAAAATACCACTTACATTACCATTTCTATCTGTGCATTCATACACGTAGCAAATTTTTATCAAGGACTTACTTCATAGAAGTCATATACTTTCATCTTGAAGGAAGAGTCATAGAGGGTAAAATGTGCTTTAAATTTCTCAGCATTTGAAAGAATTATTTCAGTCAGTTTTCCATTTCTGTTACAAAATATCTGAGGCAACTAGTAAGGAGGAAAGATTTTGGTTCATGGTTTTAGAAGTTTTAGTCCAAGATCGGTTGACCCCATGACTTTGGACCTGTGTATGGTATAGAAGGCTGATCATTTCATGGAATCCAGAAAGCAAAGAAAAAGACAGGAAGGGCTATGTCCCCCATGACCTAACTTTCTTTCATTAGGCCAAATCTCCTAAAGATTCCACCATTCCCCATTAGAGTCACAGGCTGGAGACCAAGCTTTTAACACATGGGCCTTTGGGGAACAGTAAGATCCAAACTATAACATTCTGCCCTGGCTTCCAAAGGCTCATGTCAATTTCACAACGTAAAATACATTCAGTTTCTATCCAAGGGTCCAGCAATGATAAAAAGTCCATGTCAAATCTTCTCTAAGACTCTAAGATTCAACACAAACCGGTTTGTGAACTTCCAAGTTATAATTGTAGCACAGGGTAAACATTGCTGTTTCAAAAGAAAAATAATAAGGAATTGGACCAAAGCAAGACTGAAACTCAACAGGTCAAACATTAAATGTTATAGAACCATGTTTGTGTCTGAGGCACGTGGTATCCTTATGTGAACTTCAAAGAACTTGGGCAGCCTTACTCCAATATCCTTTCTGATTGCAGTCCTCCAATCTCTAAGTTTTGTGGTCTTATTGTAGCTTCATCTTCAGTCTCACAGCTTCACGTGTCACCTTCTTAGGAGCTGTTAGCAGGAACTGTGACACTACCAAATTCTCCCTGACCTCCCAGGCTTTCCTATGAGATGTGAGTGGAACCCTCCACAGACCTGTATCTCTTGCATTTTGCATACCTGTGAAACCAGCATTAGATGGCTGTCACCAGGTTCTGTGTGAGCTAAAATTTGACCTACAACTTGTCCCACAACTGCATTGGCTTGATGGGAAACAAATCCCAGTGAAACAATTCCCTAGAAGGCCCTATGTGAGCAGGGTGTCAAAGGATCTCAAGCAAAACTCTTTGAGAGGAACTTACACTTTCACACCTATGCTGGTTACTTAAACTTCCTTAAGGCAGAAGCAAGTATCCTACTCTCCCACAGAAAATAGGAGATGGAAATGTTTCCTCCTTTGATGATTACATTGCAAATAGATGTCTACCTGTTCTTAAGAAATACTTTCCCTAGGTTGTAAAAAAAAGCCAGAGGATGGAAGATATATAGACATTTCATAGGAGCATAAAATGATACACAGTTGAAAGATTTCTAAAAAATTCATTTTCTAAGCAAAGCTAAATTATATTCAACATCAACGTGGAAGAATCTACTCTTTTTGCCAATGAATCCAAATTAAATTTTAAAAAATTGTTTGAAATATTGATTTATATATTTAAAATCTTCTTAAAATTTAACTAAAAGGACTCAGAATCTTAATAGCTCAGATATTGTTTACATATTATTTTTATTTCTCCATGCTAAAGGTCAATCTCAGAGCCTTATACATGCTAGGAAATCACTCTACCACTTAGTTGCATCCAAAGTCCCTGGTTAGGTATGACTTTTTAAAGTACCTATGCCATAATGGTAAAAGGTTGAATACTGAGGGATGATAGCTGCTTTGGTAACCTGGATTTACTTTTCTCCTCCATATCATAGGTCTACCCAGATGAAGGTTATAATGTATCTGAGAAAAGCAAGTATCATCTCTACAGCACAATCCTTAGATTCTTCAGTGATTGTTTAAAGGAAGAAATATCTGTGATACCACAGGAACCAGAAGAAGACGAATAATGAACCTTATTTATACAGAACTGAAGGGGATATTGAGGCTCAATGAAACCTAATCAAGAGACTGTCATATTGTAGATGCTCCAGAGTTTCAAGGATGACTTGAGGAGATGACATTGGAACAGAACACTCAGATAATGAACTAGAATTTGAAGACAGAAGTCCAAGTCTATTGTGTTGCTAAGGGTGCAGAATCTGTTTATCTGTAAAAGGAAGATCAAAGTGTTGGTTTCCTAGAAGAAATTAGTTTTACATTAAAGTAGGAATAGTGCATGTTTTCTTCTGTTATCCCCGTTTGTTCTGTAACTAGTTGCTCTCATTTTAATTTCAATGTACACCATTATCTTTGCATATAATGCACAACTTATCATCAGTACTACAGTCCCTGATCTTTGACGGCTGAGCTGCAATCTAACACTTTACTGTACACAATAAGTGCAATTCTCTCTTTGTCTATTATTATGCTTAAGGAAATATTCAGTTAATAAAAAACAGAGTATTTTATGTAATTTCTGTTTTTAAAAAGGCATTATTAAATGAGTCAAAGAACATGTAGAAATATGGATTTCAACACCTTCCAAAGTTCAGCCAGTTATGAGTAGATAAACTATCTTTAAATCAACACATTTTTGTATGTCTCACAATATGTATATGCACGTGTGTATATACAGTCAGTGAATCTATCCTTACATGTTATTCATGCTTACAAAAGGTAAACTTTGATGAACAAGAAAAGATGCTCTTTTATAGGCTATAATGTATACTTTGTTTAATGAGCCAAATATGAAACATTTTTTTCCAATTCAAATTCTAGCTATTTCTTTCCTATAAATGCTTGGGTTGTGTTTGGTATTGTTTTTAGTAGTTAATAGTTTTCTAGTTACAATTTAATTTTTTGAATATGATATCTTGTCACATGTAAATTAGATACTTAAATATTAAATTATAGTTTCTGATAAAGAAATTTTGTTAACAATGTAATGCCACCGAGTGCTATTTTGCTCTTTCAGTGGGCAAAATTTTTAAAAATATTTAGTCCTTTTACTTCTATGTCTCAGTACAAAACCAATGCTCATTTTCACTTGAAAAGCAATGATCTGGATTATTTCATTTTCTACATTCTATTCAGTACTTCATGACTGCCCAGTTCATCAGTTGCTGTTTAAGTCCTTCTGGTGAGAATTAGAAATGAATTTTTTTTATTCATTGGTCAAAACATTCACAAACAGTCGCGTTTGCTATTTGATTTAAATTGAAGCCACAAAAATGCAACAATTCCTGTAGTATGTTGACTGGCAGTAGTAAGTAATTGAGAATGGATATACCTGACTGTGTGGAGTCAGTTTAAGTCATGAGATCATGAGAATGTTAGCTGTGGTGACTGCAGAGTAACTTTCCCTCTTCGTGTAAGGGCTCTTGTGGAAGATGTGTAAAAGTCAAACTTTGATGTTCAGAAGAATCCAGGTAGTATACTCTGTCTTTTATAGTTTTAAAATATTCTGAAGAAAGACTGGATTGTCATGTTCTCAGAACATAGGGGGAAAATTAAAACTGTTAAGAAATTGCTCAGTCACTCTCCTATGCTGTCAAAGGATCAATCCAGAATTCTGGGTATTTGTAAACATGGGAATCACTGATTGGGTCTTCCACTTTTCTTCTGGATGCTTTGGAATTTTGACTTCACTGCTCCATTAAATTCAATTTAAAATGAGAAAGGCTCTTTGGAAAGACCCATTTTAGGTCTTTTTCAAGAATAGCAAACACATTTTTTAACAAAATAAGTTGTAAAGTTTAAAAGGAAAGTTTTGCCTATTTTATTAAGAAGGAAATTTCTTTTTAGGGTGATTTGAAGTCCAACTGAAGCTTTTTAATCAATATTTTAGATTTCAACCACTAGAATTTTTTATGATGCAAATAATTAAGTTGTCCAAATGATGTGGTTTTATTGAATGTCTATTTGAGTAACATTTAAAAAGTGTTTACCTTTTACTGTTCATCATTTCTCTTGTTTTGTTATTATTATCAATGTTTATCTATTTTTTGATTAATTTAATACAGTTTGTAACATGAAAGATGTTTGTCTGGGACCCACTTTCACCTTAAAGGCTAAATAGATCTCTGATGAAAGCATACTGCTTAATAGGAAGGAGGAAATTTTCTTCCCTGAAATCTTTGGGTTTTAATAACGTAGTCTCCCTTGTTAAAGCAATGCTCACCAAATCATAGTCATCAGTTATTGATGGAATAGTGCAATTGTAGTTTCTCTTCATATATCTATCCCATCATAATCCCATGACTCTGAGAGTTTCCCACGTCTCCAATGACAACCTTTCTGGAAGTTAAAGAAAAAATCAGGATAAACTAAAAATTTTATTATACAAAGGTAAGGAATATTTCTTCACTAAGTCAGATGTAAACACATAATTTTTCCATGCTATTTAGAAAGAGAAAGTTGCTTTTCCTCTTCGCTTCTATTAAGAAAGTGGCCAACTCAGCACAAAGGAGACTTTGCTGGTCTACCAGTTTTCCTTCTACAACTAAAGGAAAGGGATACTCTTCAAAACATGAATCTATATCTTATCTCAAAAATCTTTTTTACTTCTGTTTAGCATAGAAATCCACATTGAGAATCTTGCAGGGGCAAGATGTAATTCTACTGGAATAAGATGATATAAACACTGGTCCTTACATTATGAATAAGATTTAAGCCATTGCTGTGCAGATAATGAACTTAAAGCAGAGTTGCCTGGGAATGAATTGCTCACAAGTCTGTAGAGCATGGTTCCTTTAAAGAATTGTGTATTGAATACCTTAGTCTTTCCTTACATGATCTGACCACTTTCACATCTTGTAGCACACATCCTTGTGAAAGTGTGATCTCATCTCTCAGCTGTGCAATCCAATTTTCAATTTCTGTTTTGGAGATTCTCTGACACTACCTGCTCGACCAATCTATATTAGATTGCAAATCTATATTAGGATGCTAAAACTCCATTGAAACCTAATTAATGAAGATAGAAACAGGTGACTGTAATTCCTTCAGATGTTACAATTAATCCTTTGAAGGCTTCATGAGCCCAAGTTGCTCACAGCTTCATACCCTTCAATTTCTCTCTTCCCTGTTCCCATTCTCATTTCTCAGGATCACTAGTCTCAGTTCCCACTCTTATTTTTTAGGATCACTTTCCAAATTAAATATAAATTCACCAGTCATTGACCTAGGTCCTGCTTTATTGGGAAACCTTTTGTTTTCTGTAAGAGCATTATCACTCTGAATTTTGTAGAAAAGAAGAAAACATGAAAATAAACATGTGTTGTCTTTCCAGGTTGGAATAAGCTCTTTCTACTTAAAGTTTTTACTAAGTGCCAAACATATACAAAGTACTCCACTTGCATTACCAAACAATCTTCTCAACATGGACTGATAATCAGTATTATTTTTCCTACTTAATACATAAGGAAAGTGAGTATTAATAAAGTATGTAAGTAGCCCAAATCAATGTGGCTTAGAATTAAATAGACAAAACCACAGTTCTATCCAAGTCAGAAGTTCCTATTCTCAGTCTCCTCTTCATTCCCCTAAAATAAAAATTTAACTCATGTTCATTCCATCCAAGGAAGATTCTAAGTATTTAAACATGTCATTCCAGTTATTTTTTAAGTGATTTGGTAGCAATAATACTGAAAAGTGAAACATAACAGTGTACTGCTGGGGCATATTTGAGGTTATAGGAATGAACTCCGTAATGTCAAGAGGATATACACAATATTAAAACATGTTTTCTTTGTGTGTTCATGATATATAAAAATTATTCCTGCCCATGAAAACTTCTGTTTAGATGACCATAACTATATGCCTATGAAGTTATAAGTAAATTTCTTTGCCCATATATTATGCCAAGGACATTCCAAAATCTTTCCAGGAGGCATCCTATACTGAAGAAGTATTTTGTTAATAAAAGTTCTTAGGCTAATAAACATGAGAAATTTAAATGCTACACATCTAGAAAACATATCACCTCATTTACAGTGAAACAGGCACCAACAATCCTTTTCTCAATCTGACTTAAAAAATATTTCATTACTGCCTACTTTTCTACTATTATAGGACACAGATTTGATTTGTCACTGATCAGATCTGTTAACAGTAATTTTATTCATTTGGCATATTACAACTGTTGTTAGGACAGAGTCAATGAATTAGAAAATGATTCCTGTCTCAAAGGGAACACAGACATTTTTTAAAAGGCAGTCAATCATATTAAAGTACAATTTTGATTTTATTTATTTTAGACTTCCATTTAAGCTTATAAAAGCCTGATATAAGTGTCGCAGGCTTCTGATAGAGCAGAGTATCAAAGTTACTAGGAAAGTCTTTGTTCTCATTACCATGATCTGCCCGTGTCTATAACACCTAGCACCATTTATCTAGGTATATTTGATATATCTGTTCGGGAATGCAGAATGCCAACCTATCAGGGCATCAAAAAACCACAACTCACACTTGTACTACACTTAGATCCTTTATCGCATAAGTTCAACTAACCATCTGACCAAATGTAGGCTAGATGACATTGTTTACTGATGAAAAAATCAAAATTCAGAGACTAAAAATTCTCTGGCAAATCACACAGTATGTAAATGATAGAACCAAAGACTAATGACCTTCAAGACCTCATGTGCAAACAATCTCATGTATGCATTTTAGAGGGTTAATTTCTTAAGTTCACTGTGCATGTCTATAGGTTGTATTAAACTTTCAAGCCCTTTAATGCTTATGGCATTAAATAATTGGTATGCTTCTGGCTTGAAGTAACTGAATATAAAAATGTAAATGTCTTGTACAGTTGCTGAACTGTACTCTGTGGTATTTATTGCAGAGAAACCAAAACATACTAATGCAAATCTATACATGAATGTTAAATAGAAATTTTATTCCTTAAAAAAATACTGTTGGAACAAACTACAAATATAAATTGGATAGATCCAAGGGAATTATGCCAAGTAAAAAAAGCCAAGCTCAAAAGTCTACATGCTATGTAATTCTCTTTATATAACATTCTTGAAACACTAAAATTAAAGAGATGAAGATTAGTTTATTAATTGCCAGGGATTAGGAATGGGGTAAGGATTGGTGGTATACCACAGTGGTAGAGTACTACTTGCCTAACATGTGTGAGCCCTGGGTTCCACCCTCCAGCTCTGCAAAAATGAAGAGAACAGGAGAGGAGAAGGAAGGGAAGGAGAGGGGAAGAGAAGAAAGGGAAGGGGAAGGGGAAGGGAGGGAAGGGAAGAGGAGAGGAGAGCACAGGGAGAGGTGAGGAGAGGAGAAGAGAAGAGAAGAGAAGAGAAGAGAAGAGAAGAGAAGAGAAGAGAAGAGAAGAGAAGAGAAGAGAAGAGAAGAGAAAAGAGAGAAGAGAAGAGAAGAGAAGAGAGAAGAGAAAGAATGAAAAGATGAAAAAAGGAATGGGGGAGAAAGGAATATATTTGTTACTGTGAAAGGTTAGCATGAATGATCCTTGTGGTAAAACTGTTTTATATCATGAAAAAAATATAAATGGCTTAAATACCTGTGACTTAACATATGCTTGGCTATTATCTAGAGTTTGTTATATATGCCAATCTCAGGCACTACCTTGTCCCTACCGAACCAAAGGCTGAATATTTACAAGACCACCACGTGCTTTGTGTGCACATTAAAATTTGAGAAACTCTGGCTTAGGGAAGAACCTTCATTGACTCACATCACAAGATCACTCAAGGTGTGTGATCCTAGAAGCAGTTCAACAGATCATGGAGGGGATATACTGCTCTCCTCCTACCTTTCCACATCTTCAGCATTGGTATGTTGTTTGTTGCCTGCAATAGTTTCACATAATGCAGCTGTCCAGGAAATACTTTCTTTCACAGCAATGTTCAAAGACAGTGAGAGGTGATCCCCTCTTACTTATCTTGTATCTGGGAAAAAAAATTTCAAGTCCCTATCTCACATACAAAGGAGACTTGTTTATCTGAAATTTAATCTCATTGGTGAAATTGCAAGAAGAAGGGTAGAAGTATGAATTAAGAGAAATACAAGCTCACCTTCTCAGAGTAGAGCAGCATACAGAAAGGGTAGAGTATGGATCTTCAGAAAATGGACAGTATCCAGAAAGTCTACATGTCAGGTGGAGCTTCTGGGTGTACTTGGTTTCATGCCATTGCTTGTTAAAGTAATCCAAGGACTGTCCTCATCCACCTACTCCAAGAGGGAAGCACAAGACACATTTAGACAGAGAAAGGGATGGGAGTTTGTGGGACCTTAATTATGTTGGGCAACCTTGCAGTCAAGTCTCAGCCAATGACATGCTTGGTTTTAGAACAGAGTCCATATACCCAGTCACCATGTAAGAGTTCAGATGTTGTAGATGAGCACAAATTGTTCTTTCTGTTGCTGCACAACCATCAGAAACAACTTGGTGACTTGAACCATTTAGAAACAACTCAATGACTGGCGCCCACAGCCCTAGTTTGTCTTGCTTCAACACAATTGAATGGTCCATAATAGAAGATAATCCATGGAGACTGGGGAGTTATCTACATCACTCAAGGTTGACGCGGGGTTACTTTAACAATGTCTTCATGTGAGTAAACCAGATACAGTATTTTGTTTCATTTTTTAAATTTTATTTAATAGTTTTTACATTTACTTCCATGTGTATACACTATTTGGGCCAACTCCCCACCATCCCCCCCCCAACCTCCAGACAGAACTTGTTCCTTCATCTTGTTCTCTGATTTGTTGAAGGAAAGGCATAAAAATAAAAGGAAAAAGTGTTTTTGCTAGTTTGAGATGAAGATAGCTATGCAAGGAGATTCTGTATTTTAAACAAAAACTTCACTCTTCATAGAAAAGGGGAAGTTAGTATGGATTTAAAAAGAAACAAGTTTCACAGGATTCTTCAGTAGAATGCAACAGCAGCTCAGATCTTCATGATGCTCAGCACTGACAGT